CCCCAAAACCCCAAAACCCCAAAACCCCAAAGTGTAAATTAAGCAAAGAATTGTAATGTATGCTAAAATAAAAACAAATAAACGCTTAAGTAAATAATTATAATAAATCTATAAAATCATTGTTTACCTTAGTACACTTTTTCCCTCTTGATGACAGAAACAATAAGAATAGAACCTTAATCAAACGATTATGAACTTACTAATACCCCTAGATCATAATCAAAATAACCTTATATGGGGGTAGCTATGAACTTGAAAATAAAAAAGAAGAGCTAATTTTTAATCAATCAACCTTCAGGTGAAGACACCTCTCGGTCTTTCAATATTAATTAGGTAAATCAGCACTCAGAATAATAGGAAAGCATTTCAAATACTGTGTAAAGTGATGATATATCAGAAATAATCAAAGATTATGAAAACGAGGAGGCTGAAAAAGATATTGATAAAGAAAGGACAGATAAAATACTACTATAGAATAAATCTAGAAAAAATACAAGTTTGACTCACTAATATGATAGTAACTCCGCGCTAAAAAGGACGACTACAAGTAAACTGCAAGATAGAATAATAAATCTTAAAGGACTTACTCTGATTAACACAAAGCTGCCTAGATATATGAATGATACTATGGAATACACAAATAGAGATAGTCATTTGCATATAGATATAATACCCGAGTTTAATGAATTTAGACTGGATGATTCTGACCGAGGTGGTAAAACTTTAAATTTCTAGAGAGAGCATGATGATCTATTATCTCCAGATCCAATTGGAGTAAGGCAAAAACTTAAACAAATTTTTTTGAACAGATTAATAAATGTCAGCGAGTTCCAAGTTGAGTTTAAATTTGGGACATTTTTAAAGTTTATGATATACCACCTATTATTCTTTTATTTAGGACCACTAGCTTCAATTCTTGTTCTGATCTTCGATACTAAATAAATAGTAAATAACATGTCTTTTTGGATTACTACTGGAAATAAAGCATCTTTTTTCACTTAAATTATTCAATGGATTGCTACTATTACTGTATGTGGCTCCTGGGCTTAAAAATAATATAGATTGTTTCCAATAGTAGAAATTAACTTAGACTACATATTTCTAGAATAACTTTTCTTTTTTAATTTAATGGTCCTAATTCGCAGCTTTGTAATTGCAGTGCGATATGGTTATACATCGCAATTCAGATTGACTACTTTGAGAAATTCTAATTAAGATCTAAGTTATATTGCTTAGGATTTGCTATTGCCCACTTGGATCAACTTTAATCCTGAGGGCCTTGATTTAGAAATTGAGGCATCAATGTGGAGAAATTAAGTTGAGCCTGAAACATTCAAATTTACATTTATTGAAGAACTTGAAAAAAATATGGGTGAAAGATTACTGAACAAAAATTATTACGCTAACCTGGATAAATCTTTTAAGATGAAAAACTACAAATAAGATATATCTTCTTTCAAGGCCTCAATCAGGCATAGAAGAAATAGCTTAGATAGAATTGACATTTATAACAATGATTATGACATGTTCGGGCTTCATTCATAAAGAAATATTACTTTGACAAATTTAAAGGAAAAAAAGTATTGTGGAAATCTTTTATTAAGAGAAATAGCATTATTTGCAGGCGCTCATTAAAGATCTACTGCTTTATTCATGACGCTATCTATTATTGGAAAATTATCTTTACCATTTATTGCTAGATACATAACTTATGAAAGATTTGAACTTCCCTGGGATTCTTCAATTTACACAGCATTTGACTCAATTGCAACTTCTCTGTTTCTCTTGCAAAACTACTTTTTTGTAGCTGCTGGGCATGTTGATTTTCAAAGAAGATATAATATGATGAAGTCAGTTAGCGCATTGATTACACCATTTAAGGATAATTACGACATTAAGTTTCAAATCTTTCCAACAATTAATTTGGTTAGCAAAGAGAGCTTGCATGCTTGGTTCTAACTAAGATGCTGTGTCATGGATTTTGGTCGTAAATACATGATGAGAATCTTCATGTATTCATCCGTATTTTTAGGAATGTATCTGTTTTATGCTGCATTTTTACTGATGAGTTTCTTTGGCTTTTTGCAATTTGAATTTTCCTTGGTGTTTAACATGATCTGTATATTTGACATTGTTATTATCTTGGGTCTCATCCTCTCAATGTTCTTTTACGGAGCAGCAATAAACGAGGAATTTGTTGAGAACAAGCTGCAACTGATAAAAATCAAATAAATTTTAATATACTCAAAATCTAATCTTAGAAGAATAATCAACAAGAATACAAAGTTTTCTGCTGCGTATCTAAAGATATTCCAGAAAATCTTTTAATAATTATTTCAAGATAAAAGAGATGAGTTCACTAAAATTTAAAAGTCATTCACTTCTGACCTTATCTTGTTAGATCTGAAGATTCATATTGATGACTTGATTGAGCAAATAGATTCTATAATATAGAGACTTGAGGTTGAAAATGAGCACCGCCCACTTAAGCTGCTTGGTTTGAAGGCTACATACGCCTTTATGAATCAAATATATACTACTCTATTTACTTTAGCAGTGGCTATATCCCAAAGATTCTATTCTGGAGGTAACACTAGTTATATCTGAGTAGAAATATCTATCAGAAAATATAAACCAATATGTATAAATTCATGTGTTCATAAGTCATATTATAGTATAAATTTAATAAATACAGTAATTTTTATTGTAAAATCTCATAAATGAACTCATTAAGGGGTTTTGGGGTTTTGGGGTTTTGGGG